AATAGATAAGATTACATTTTAAATTTTAAGACTTCAGGCAAAGATATTTCACATCCATAAGTCTTACCTATTTTTGAAAGAAACACAAACACAGCATGTTTAAGTGTTAACAGTTTATTAGAAAGATATTGTAGGCTTAAAAAAAATTCCATTGCATTTGACATAAATTGAGGTTCAGCTTGTACTGAGCAGATTTCACAAAATACATCCTAAAGATAGTGTATTAACATTTTCTTCAAACTTGCATTCATACTCAAGACAGTGCAAATACACTTGGTCATCTAAATGTACAGCCACTTAAGATCCACAAGCGACAATGTACAGCTTTATCACTCTTCATACTAACAGATGTAGAAGCTCAAGGGTCAACCAATACCATTAAAGAGTTTTAACCAATTATTAGGGATGAAGCCACTTTGGGGAAAAAAAAACTTAAAACCTCAGCATCCTAACTGCTGCAGAATTAACTAAGGTGGCTTTATTGATACTGAAGCCATTTCAGTGCTAGGTTTATGGGGATTTCCAACTACAAGGTTTAGTATCAGTCAATACAAACGCCGATCACTATAAATAACTTAAAATTAATTTTTTTTTTTGCAAAGTCCTGGAAAATTGGTATCTGTACATAATGGCAGATTATTGTACTGTACTGGTAAGCAATTTTGTCCAATACTCTGGTATGCATCGACCCCTAGAAAAGCCTTTAAAACAGGTTGAAAGTGGATTGAAAGATGCACCACTGCCCTCAACAGCTATCAACTTATAATTGTTTTGTTAAAAATTAACAGTTTAATGAATGCTTTTCTTCCAATTCCCTGAAGCCTTTTTCCCCCAATTCATTTACTCTAGATCTGGCATTTCTGAAAAAGAGAAAAACAAACCTGAGTAACAGTAACAGGTTAAACTTGTCTTTTTTCTAAAAAAGGAGGCCAAAATTCAACTTACTCTCATCATCGCTGTCCTGCGACCCATCCTAAAGAGCAAGGAAACAATTTTTAAAGCCATTTACTAAATATGTTGGCACAGATAACATTCATTCACCATTAAAAGATAGACAAGTACCATAGTTTAATACTGGCATATTAATCTCCAGACATTATGATGAGGAACTAAAAGAGCAAATATTCTCTCCAATCACACCAAACCCATTATAGAATAGTACCACGACATTCCACAGCTGCACAATCCAAGCTGAAAATTTCTTTTGTTGAGGGAAAAAAAAATTATAGGATTAACTTCACATGCCTTAGTCACTTATCAAACTTGTCAGCTACACCAAGTAGTTCTTTCAGTAATCACAAACCTTCAGTGAGAATTGCAAAATTAAAACGAACTATTGGGTTGCTGAAGTGCTCCCTATAAATTAACCTGAAGATAGTGGAAACGACTAGATCAAATATGGTTTACACATGATTCAATTCTGAATCTATAAAAAGGTCCAACACCCAAATGTCATTAGCAAGAGTGACGCACTCATCTCCTCTCTGCCCCTACCCGATTTCCTTGGCTAATCATCTTGAAGTCAAACTGGATCTACACCTCTAACTATGCCTATATTATACCAATCAAGAATTGCAGTTGTGCTCGCATCTGCCTGGCCCTGTGGCGAGAATAATCTCATGCATCACAAGAATATTTAACTTAAGATTTCCAGGGAAGTCTACCTCGATCCTCATATCGGAACTACTTGTTAAGTCACAAAACGTCAGTGGAAAGTGCAGTACTGTGTGCTTGGTGAAATAATGCTCAACTGTGAAAACATCCAACACAACTGAATGGTCTTTTGCACAAAAAGAAACTTGCTTTTATCCAGCACCTTTTATCTTTTTATAGGGAGAGTCACACATGAGAATGGCAAGGGTAACGGAGGCTTGACAACACATATAAAAGCAGAAATAGCAATGTCTAAGGAGGGGAACTTTGGAGAACAAACTCTCTGCCAACCACCAATAATGAGGCAACGCAAAGATGACTCAATTTCAAAGACTGACAGTTTGACAAAGACAAATTAAGTGCTCAACAGAACTGCTAAAGTTGTCTCCAAATGATCCACTCTCCTTGTTTAACTCAGTAGCACTGTGGGAATATGGATAAGTCAATGTGCCCTCAAACACTACTTATTCTTGCTTGAAATGTTCCCTCCGAAGTATAATTTTTATTCCCCTCCACAACGAGGATGGCCTGGACCACAAACTAGTCTATGATAATAGAAGGAATGGGACAGGCTCAGTGAGATGTTTATGCCCTCAGAAGCAGCTTGGCTATATTACATTAATCCACAGAAGTTATCAATAGAAAAGCTACAATTTGAATGATAGTTGAAACAGAACACTTGAACCCTGGAGAATCCAGTTATAACCTTTACAGTCACTAAGCTGTCCCGTAATCAAAATTTCCACTTGACAATCAATTACTACTGAAAATACACAATTCAATAAGCCAGCGTCTTCATACTTACATCATCCATTCCATCTACGTCTGGGATGTCTCCATCATCATCTCCTCCCATATTGTTCATCATCTAAAGAAGTTTTTTTTTTATGTTAAGTTTTTTAAAAAAATATAAAGTTATTTAATTCTATTGCAGTACACTGACAATGCACCTTAAAAAGGGATAAGTGAGACGTTGGGGTGGTGCTGAATTACAGATGAAGATGACCCCAGATCAATTCCTAACCAGTACTGAATTAATCAAGTGGGGCATCATAACTCTTAGGGAATGAGCAAAAAGGGACAGAGGACAACAAACAAGGATTTGGTGATCTAACCAGAATGAACACTGATGTAGTTGAGTGGCAACAATGTCAATCACACCTGCCACACTCTTAACAGTCAAATAGCCTATTGACATCTGCTGTCACACAAGTAGCCATATTTGATTAAGCTTGGGCAGTGGGCAGCCACAGAACTGTATTCAACACAAAATGCTTGTCATTGACAACAGTTCTGGTTTTATGAACTTCTAAAAATGATCTTATTCATAACTATTACTGTATGGTTTAGTGGTCTTTTTTTTCCCCCCTCACAAACATTAGCTTCTTCCCTGTTAACCTCAGCAAATTCAAGATATCATAATTCATATCCAATGCCATTGTGCAATAATTATATTTGGAGTTAGCTTTTCACACTGCATCTGGTGAAAAGTTTACGACTAGCTTTAACACGTCACTGTATACAGGTGATAACTTCTTTTGTATGGATTAATGTTACTTTGATTGCATATTCTGGTGCATTACACACAGAAAAGTGAAGAGAAAAGGGTGGACAGTAGAACCTACACAACAGGAAGTGAATCATAGCAAGCAGGTTGGTTTAATACAATACTGGAGTTCAGTTTGTGTTTTCCAGGAGTTTCTTTCCTGGGACGAGTTCCTTTCTTCAGGTATTTAAATTAAAAGGCACCTATTTTCCAAAATTTGATACCTTCAACATTTGACAAATGTCACGATGACCCCTTTTGATGTTGTGCAAATGGAATAACAAAGTTAGCTCCTAATTCCAAAAATCACAGATGCTCCTACCTGTGAGAACTTTTCAAAGCTGGACAAATCTTCTTCTTCTGGATCATCATCCCAATCTCTCCAGTTATTGAAATCCACTTTGAGCCAGTTTAACTGTACAGAAAGTGGTCAGTCATTGAAAGCAAGTAATATGGGATGGTCAAGAACAAATACTGAGATTATAAAAGACCAAAATTTTGTGAATTTATTGCAGATTTCAATCAAAGTGCTAGAAACATTCAGTAGGTCTTGCAGTGTCCGTGCAGACAGAAACAGTAAAAACTGAGTCGAGTAAGAACTACACCTGTCTGTCGCTGAGGACTTCCTGCACTTTATTTTTAACATGTCAGTGCTACAACAATCCCAGTTACCTTTGCTTTTTCTTTGGTTAACCGTGGCCATGCTTGACCAGATTCTCCTTTTCTTAAATAGCACAAGACAGATCTATCTGTCCGCTTGTGTTTGGAATCCTATGGAATATATCAAAGAGAGAACAATATATACCAGTATTAAACAGATCAATACAATTAAACTCAATTGCACGAGCCATTTCTATCCCACCAAATTTAAAAATAGGTCCGTCAATAGCATTACATTTAATTCTGGTTGCTTGTTTTGCAAGAGGGAAAACAGTGGGGTAAAGTAGGGGGGATAGAATGGAGGAGACAAAAATGAAAATATCACAATCCGTTTCTAATAATTCAGCCATAATTATGTAAAATTCATGCAATGAAACTGAACAACATTCCCTAAATACCTCAATCCTTTTAAAAAAAAATTATAAAGCTGAGGTATACCACTGTCTTTCTGATAACACAACAAACAACAACACTGGCAGAGGTTGGGAATAAGTCTTCCCTTTTGGCTAAGAATTGGCCCTGGGATAGAGGGGAAAAATCCCAAAATACTTGGTTGGCTCATTTATGCCCACGATCACTAATACTTACACTTGGGTCAATTGCATTATAAAGGTTAACTTCATTAAAATGCTTTACGCTTTCCGCTCCTCCAAGGCAGCTACATGGAAAGAGACAAGCCACACAAAAAGTGAATTTTAATAATCATGTTCACGCATGCATTACAGATCACACAGACAGACAATAGATTAAAAACGTTAATCAGTATTTAGATAGTAAATTTGAGAGAACACTAACATTTTATGCTCATTCCAAAATCATAGATTTATGAAAATCCACACATCAGAATTTGAAGCCGATTTTAGAGCAAACAGATGCTGCTTTATCCCAAATATTTTCTTACTGAGCCTCAGATTTCTTGGTTTGCTTCCCCATTCCCATTGATGCATCATTAGCTTCATCCACCATGTAGGAAGCCAACCACGAGCTCAAAAGTGGAGCAACCCATCTTTCTACCAGACACTTCCAGCCCTGGGGTCTTAATGTCCTAACATTAAGTGTCAACTTAATGACCTAAACTACAGCCTGTATTTTCATTGGACAATAGGAACCGAGCTGATATAGTGGATGTGCCAAAACATGAGATTCATTTCCCTCCCCAGCGCTGGCAGGATGTTTTGTATCCTTAGTGTCAACCTGTTATTTTTCCTCCCAACCACCAGACTCCTGAGCTAATTAGGCCTGCTCTTTGACTGAATATAAAAAATGCTGGCATTCATACCAGGTCACACAGCATCCATGGAGAGAAAGCAAGCTAGCGTTAGTCTAAATGACTCTTCAGAGTCAATGTGAAGTGTGGAGGGGCAGCATTTATGCAATCATGGGGTGGGCGGGGGCAAGAAAGGATGTTGATACTTCAGATTAATTGATTTGAATGAGAGAATGGCAAAACAATAGTGGCTAGCTGCCAGACTAGAGAAAACAGACAGTCCCACTGGGGTGTGGGTTTTGTTACTTTTCATGTATTTCTCACATTCGACTTATCACCTTATTTCTTCTGCTTATAAATCAACCTGCCATTTAACTCCCCTACTGTAATATGATGCATCATTTTACCACTTCATCAGCAATAGCTTTCAGTTCTGAAAAAAGTCTATTCCAGAAAAATGAACAAATTATGTTCTCTGGTGAGGAAACATCTGAACTCTCTTCAGCATTTGTATCTTTTCAGCATCTGCAGTATTTGCCTGCTACAACATTAACATGTGGAATGGTCAATAGCAGCATTGGGCAGTTACTTCAAAGCACTTTGGCAGTTTTCCCCATCTTGGCCTGAGAACATTTTGGCAAACTGCAGTGATCTCAATATTTCAGGTGAAAAATCAGCCAACTCGGCACAAGTTAGGAGTGAACTTCAGAAGTCTGTAGAGGTCAATATCACACAATAGTGCATTTCCAAATTGAGTCAATATACCTTCATCAGGGAATAATTGAATAAGGCCAGGCAAAGAATTCACTTTCAAGTAAGGGTGGAAATAAAGCCTGAGCACATTGAACAAGGCATTATGGAAGTGAAAAACCAAAATAATTATTCAATCTATATTTAAACTTACACAAGTTATTTTATTACCACACACAAGTTGTTAAATTTGAAATGAAACCAATTTGGACCTCCAGGAAATGAATGGAGGAAAAACAACTTCACTGGCTCAAAATATTTTGCACGGTCAACTACTTTTACATATTATGCTAACGCTGCTGGCTCATACAGGTCTCACAAAGGCAACTGCAACATCAAAACAAAACTAAGCCTGTCACATTCACCAAGTGTCAGCAGAAAAAAAACTGGAACGGACAGATAGAGAAAATCTCCCCTTTCACAAATGTTGGAATGTAGAAGGGGGAACAAAAAAATCCAAAAATTGAGACCATCCATTATACAAGTTCTATAAAGGGAGAATCACGAGACTGTCTCTGCACAAATTCCCTTCCCTTCATATTTTGTTCTGTCAAAGTTAAAATTTGAGTGATTCCTTTCAGAGCTGAACAAATAATAAAAAAAAAAATAACAAACATACAAAATCCTAGGTTTGATTCCCATTTTGTGCTGTTAGCATATCAGAGCCAGGATAGCAGTTGCAACTGCCTTCAGCACGTACAATTGGGAAAGATTTGCCAGCTTTTGCGCAAAGATGGTGCTTCACATTCATATGCAGCTTCAGGTATATAATGCCATATAACTACGCCATCATTATACTTACAGATTTAACCTCCATTTTCAGGAGCTCACTGCATCAATCACATGCTGCCACCTTCCTAATATGCACTGCAATGCACAACATAGCCAGAACAGTCTTCCAAAAGGCATATTCATTTGAACAAGATTCCAAAGGAGTGTTAAACCCCTGAGATCAGGTCAGCAACTTGATCAGATGAATTAGTGACATTTAAAGAAAACCTGACAAGCAGGACAAAGAAGCCACCCATAGTAAGTTACTATAATTCAGTTACTCACTCATCTATAAAACTAGTGCACACACTATGTTTAAAGTGGAAACACAGTCTCAGTTGGCTGGTTTGCAATGCAGAATGATGCCAACAGCATGGGTTCAATTCCCGCATCAGCTGATGTTACCATGAAGAATACTCCTTCTCAACTTCTCTCCTTGCCTGAGGCTTGGTGACCCCAAAGTTAAATCACCACCAGTTCTCTCTCCCCAGCAAGAGAGCAGCCCTGATGTCTGCTAAGACTATGGGAACTAACTATTAATGAACTATTTGCAAAGTTAAGAAACTTCGTGAAAATTAACAGTTCGTTGACGAGCATAGAGCTCAATGGTAATACTCTAAACCTCAGTTCTAATGGAACTGCATACCCAGAGACCTAACTATTCTGTCAAAAAGCAGTCAGTCAGTCAGTCAGTGGAAATATTAGCATGACCACATTAATATTAGTTTCACGGTCTCATCCTATATTATGTGGAGGCTGAAAGGAAGGGAAAAACAAGTGTGAGCAAACAAACATTTAAGAAGAAAGGTAAGAATTGACCTGTCCAGCATCCCCACACTTTCTTTAAAAAACAACACCAAAGGAAAATAGTGGCAGAAATGCCTGGAGGCCCAGTCACCTGCTACTTCAAGGTGGTAGTAAAGGACCCTAAATTAGAAACAAAATCTTGCTGCTTCTAATAATTACCCCAACACAGTAGTGTATGCATTGATGTTTAAGGTTTAAATTTCATGCAGCTGCACAGAACGCAAAAATTTTAAATATATTAAAACAATTTCCACCCAGAGCTCATTAATAAATGTTACCAACATTTGGCATTCTACTCGAGTCATTCTCAAACTCTGGACCAAATTTCAACACAGGCAACATTTATTGGGAAAAAAAAAAATCACAAGGTGGGCATACTTTTCCTTTATCTGCATGGCCATTGTGGTAGGAGCACATGCCATACTAAGTTCCCAAACTACAATGATTCCAGTTTGCAAAACTTCAAGCCTTTCTCCAGAAACTGACAAACAAATTTTGGTCAGCGTATTACTTTCACGTGGCAGTTTGTTCTTGTGTTACAGCAGTTTGATTGTCCATTTTTGCGCTTATTAGAGCGTGTTGCAGATTCAGGTTCTCCACTGTGATTTGCTAGTCTCAAGCTATACCAACTGATGTCCGTGTGAATCCACAGATGAGAAATACTTAAGGGAAATATCTCTAGGCCAGAACCACTATACCCCTGGGCAGCCAGTATAATAGCAGCTCTGGTATGCCCATTTAGCCAAGCAATAGGTAGCAATTGAAAAAACACAAAAAGAGAGGATGACAGAGAAAGAGATGCAAAATACAGTAATGCTGATCAAATAAGTCTCTTGCGCAGTGCCAAAGCATTCTTTCATGATGGATAAGCAATAATTCAAATTTTTTCACAGGCTACAAGTTTTAACAATTAATGTTCTAAAAATAGAAAAGCATAAATAAAATTGTGAACTTCTGCAGTAAAATATTGTAAAAATCCAGCAGAGATTACACTAATCGCTTCTGGTGACAAATATTCAGGCATACATCTTCATTGAGGTGGTCACTGGCATTTTTAACAAAAGAACACAACTCATTTGTGAACAGTGCTAATGAGAAACTGTATTATTAGACTAGAGCCTAGATTTCTTTTCAAATGCATTCAAGTAGTGAAATAAAGCTGTCCCTAACTTTATGACAGACATTTTGACACAAATGGGATTGAATATCTACTACGTACCTGAATGTAAACTTCTCTTTTTCAAAATTTATTTCAACATCCTTACTGTCTTCTACACAAAATTCAACAAAGACGTAGTCTCTTCGGTCATACCATTTTGCAGAAGCTGGCTGCCTAAAAGTATTATGGGAGTGAAAACAATCACAAGGTTTGTGTGGAAAAAGACTGCAAGTTCTCAAAGCCGCATGCAAAAAAAGTATTTACATTCCAATAGAGTGACTTCAGTACAATTCAGTCTCTGAGTTCTGCTGCTGCTGATAAAACAAAATTTGAAAGTAGTCAGGGATACCCAAATTTTAGACCAAAAAGGTGGGGCAAGAAAAAGAGCAGAGCACATGAACAAGAGCCACTGGCGTGACCTCATAGCCAATGGGTTCATCATGGGGCAATCTCAACAAAGATGTTTGATTTGTTGCTAATTTCTATTAAGCGGGCTTTGGCCCAAGCTGCAAGAACAATTGAACTGATTGGAGATCCAGTGTCTGATTCTAGATGTCATGGATTCAAGCTTCTATGTTGAGATCGTCCCACAATGCATGTCCTCTGATTATGCAAGTTGCTTCAATTAAAATTAAAACCATTTCTATAACATCTTCCAATTACACGAAAAACAAAGATCTTGAAGCATTTAGCTTTGAGGCACGCAATCCCTACATGAGTGATAAGCAGGGTGAGCATTTTTAACCACTCAATTTACTTTTGCCATTTTTAGGCATCTTAAATTCAGATCCTTTGGGAAAAATAATTAAAGGAAAACCATTTGAATGGTGTGAGAATCTCTATGGGCAAGGGCACATGCATCAAAATGCTTGAGATCCTCTGAGATAAGCAATCAGAACCAGAGATCTAAATGCAGCTTCACAACTCATTGCAAATACCCTACAAAAATTAAAACATACCACTTAAGCATAATGTGAATTCTCTTTAGGTTGTGTATAGCACCTAGGGTCCATGCCCATGAATGATATACCAAGATCCCTCTCAATTGAAAGCAGGGTTGCATAAAAGCAAAATGAAAATAAAACTTATATATGGGGGAAAGTAAGACAGAAAGGTTCAAGATATTGGTAAAACTTAACCCGAAGAACCCAACCATCACTACAGCTTTGATGCTACAAGTGGCAAATAAAATTATAATGGGAGATACCTTCAGTGGAACATTACATTCCACATGGGAAAATTATGGAAGAATAAGCACAATTTTCCAGATTTTTAGTTCCACCAGAATCCTTTTCCCCACACACACTCATACCTGAGTGGGACAAGTGCCAGAGTTTCAGCCGAGGTGACTGGTTCTTGATATAGCCAGGGGCTCTGCTGGTCAACTATCCTTCAGTTTTTCTTGCACCAATGCTTGGCACAAAAGTTTAAACAATTTTGAGATGGTTATGGCACAAAGCTAATATTCTCTAACTCGTAATCTAAATTTGTTGGTTGCTAGTCTGAAGCACAACTGTGATATTAAACTGATGCACGTAGCCTGGACTTAACACATTAGAATTCTCCCACTTCCTAATACTGGTTCAATGTTTAACACTAACCCTTGTTTTTCTTAGAAAATAACAGATCTTCTCTCAAAAACCACCTGCAATACAATTTCAACAATCAAGTCATAAGGCTAATGTTCTACCTTAATTTTGGAATGCATATAGTCACAGGAGGCTAAACATCTGCATGGGACTACAGGTGTTATAGGAATTTGAGAACTGCACAGCATTTGACTAAGTTGACTTAAAAAGTTGGGGTGGGATTGGAAGAGCACCAAACGGTACTATGGCTAATCACAGGGGGGAAAAAAAAAAAGAGATAAGCACAAGAATATGCCATTTCTCTCAGATTCATCCTTACCAATTCAAAATCAGAACATCTACATTTAACATGTTCCATATTTGGAAGCTTCCTCAAGGGCCACATTCAGAAGCACCCAGTTTCTACATTTTCTGATGAAGGGTCTAGGCCCGAAACGTCAGCCTCTCTGCTCCTATGATGCTGCTTGGCCTGCTGTGTTCATGCAGCCCTGCACCTTGTTGTCTCGGATTCTCCAGCATCTGCAGTTCCTAATATCTCAGTTTCTACATTTGATCACTATCTAATTATGAAATATACAAACCATCTGCATAAACAGATGCATGAAACATCTTTTGCATGAAGTGTATTTACACCAAAATCAGCATCAAGCTGAATATGTTGTACCACACTGTTAAAGTTCACTTGTGAACAACGGCCACCTAAATATTCAAACGTCAGCCACTATCTTTGTTGGGGTTATACAGTTCAACCAATGTATTCAAAATAAACTTGAATACAAATTAATGGCTTTAAAAGAGGAACCAGAGACACGACACCACAAAATTGATGAGTCAAGTTTTATTTGTTGGAAAACTATCAGAACTATCCTAATGGCACTGTGGGCCTACCTAAACTATTCCGACTGCAGTGGATCAAGGAAGTAGCTCACCACCACCTTCAAGGACAAACTAAGGATGAGTAACAAATGCTGACGTAGTCAGCAACACCCATGTCCCATGAAAGAAGAAAAAGCAAAGAAACATAGAACAACCAGATTATGGAGGATTTCGTGTGCCAGTCTCTGCGTACTTTGTCCACAACAGGAAACTACGCAACTTCAGTAATGCCCAGATTCACAAAAAATCTATATTAATTCAGGATTATCAATCCAAAAATGCAGTTTAGAGCATCCATAGCGCCAATGTAGTGAGGTAGCATGCGAAGTATTGGCATACCACAGAATTGTAAATCAAATATTCAAATTATTTGTTGTCATTGGAACCTGGAGAAAAATAAATTGTCTTGTACTGTTTATTAGCACATTTTTATTGAAAGCAGAATCAAGAAAAGAATGCAAAGTGTAGCTATATACCTCAACATCAGGATGATCAGAAACCAATTCTCACTCTCCAGTAAGGCTGTCAGGCCTTACTGACACAGAGCAAGAAAGAGGGAAGGACAGAATGTGCAGCTGGAGTTTGGTGAAAGAGTCGCAAGGGATAAATTTAACAATTTTTTAAAATCTAACAGCCAATTTCAATCTAAAGTCTAGTGTTTCTATAAATCAGCAACTTACTAAAAGTTGTTCTTTGAATTGGGTGCTGTTTAATTACAGTTTTAAACCAGGAGTTTACAGGCTCTCAGCTGAAGCCAGTTCATTAGGCATCTAGTTTAATCCAGTTTCAAAAGGCTTTGAAGTAGAGGTTATAAAAGGAGAGCACCTTCAGTGCTGACTTGTTCAGTGCATGCAGTAGTGTGCAGCTAACATTTGGTAAAACTAGGAGAAAAAAAAGTGATCAGTCACTTCTGTTCTGTACTACTGGTGATTACTTCTACTCTATAAAACAAAATACGGTCTTGGGGAAATTGGAGCATGAGGGAAGTGGGACTTTAACTCATAGTACAGAGCACTGGAGGTCAGGCCAAGTCAAAGCTGCTGATTGGGCTAGTAGAGATGGTGCATATTTATACTATTATTGCTTATAATTTTGAAGTCTTATTTTGTGGTTCATAATTTCGAAGGACTACATTCTGTATTAACAAGATCAAGGGAAGAACGGTCTTAAAGTAATTGATATTGTTTGATTTTAAGAGTACTTTTAAAGGTTTAATCCAAAACGAGTAAGTCATTGCAGGAGAACTCAAAAGTCGTGGTTTGCTCCTCCTCCTCTATGGAAAGCCAGGTAAGTTTCCAGTGCCAGCATGTATGCAGTAAATATTTCCAGCTGCAGCTCCTGGAAGCCTGGGTTTTGGAGCAACAGCAGCAGCTGGGGACACTGGAGCATCTGCAAAACTGAGCATGTATAGAGAGGAGGTCACGCTACAGGCAGAAAAAGGAATGGGCAACCACCCGGCAGAGTAAAAGGATGAGGCAAATAGTGCATGAATCCTAATGCTTTGGATACTGCTGAGGAATGGTCTCTCAGGGGAAAGCAATAACAGCCAAAATTTGCAGGTCTGGACCCTGCAGCCCAATGGTATCAATGTGGATTTCACAAGCTTCAAAATCTCCCCTCCCCCTACCACATCCCAAAACCAGCCCAGCTCGTCCCCGCCTCCCTAACCTGTCCTTCCTCCCACCTATCCCCACCATCTCCTACCTACTAACCTCATCCCACCCCCTTGACCTGTCTGTCCTCCCTGGACTGACTT